TTTATTATTATATTCTTTTATTTTTAAAAATTATTTTATTTGTAAAAAAATATATATATTTTACATTTAAATTGTAATAAAATAATATATTATTTTGTGTAATGGAAACAATTGCCTATTGAAATAAAATATTAATTTTAACACTATTTTACATATGTCATTTTGAAAATTAATTTAATAATTTAATTTGTATATTATTAAATGAAGCAATTATGTTAAATCAAAATCATACAAATAATGAAGAAATTATAAAATACTTAGATAAAAAGTATAAGTAGTTATAATATTGAATTTATACTAAATAATTTTATTAAATTTTATATTATAAGGTATTATTATTATTTATATTATAAGGTATTCAAAATTAATTTGCTATTTATAGTGAAATCTCTTCTGAATCATATTCATCATCATTATCAAATAAAATATTACATACAACTAAATTAGATATTGTTCTAACTAATAAAGGACTTCAGATTTATGGAACATGGAGTACAGAGAAATTATTAAAATTATTAACAAACAGACTTAAGCAATGCATCAATATGCAATCAAATGAATTAAAACCAATTTCTAGTGGTATAAATGATACACGATTATGGATTGCTATTCATAGTGGCTTATATAGTAATTCTGTTCTAAAAGAATTAATACAAAAAGGTATCTCTATATATAATGGTATCCATGATAAAAATACATAAAAAATAAAATAATTAAAACAAAAATTAATTAATTTAACTTAATTTTTTAGGAATGTCTATATATAATATCATAAAAGCAATGAAACTTGGACTTATAAATCTTAGTTATTGTGAACTTTTCTATTTTAAAAAATTCAATATAGAACCATATAATTTAGAATTTAAAGAATCTTGGAATAAATTTAGTGATGAATTAATTTTAAATTTAGTATGTACAGGATTGAGTGAAATGAATTGTTGGAATATTATTATATATGGAATAATGCTTCAAAGTCCAAATATTCTTCGTCATTTAATTTTAAGTGGTATTGATGTTCCTGGTATTTTAAACTGGCAATCTCCTATTAATTTTGCATCATCTAAAATAATTGTATTCTTAAAACATATTGGAATAAATGAAAATGTTATAAAATTGGTAGAAAAATATGGAATTGATGAAGAAACTGAACAAATGTTAATTGATTTAGGACTTAATGAAATAGGAGAAAAATTGTCAGAATTGGAGGTCTAAATGCAATTATTTAATTTATTCTATTATACATTATTATATTTTTTATTCTTAATAATCTCTATAGGAACTAATATGTGAATGCAGTTTAACTATATTGGAATCAAACAGTTGTTCAGAAATAATAGAAAATATTGAAACAAATAATTCAAAAAGCATTTCTAGTTCTACTAGTATACCAGATTGCTGTACTATACCAGATTTTTTTCAGCAATGTATTTGTCAATGTCATTTACTATCAAAAAATAATGCAATGTTTCAATCGATTATACGAAATGATTATTTAAGGTAAATAATAATTATATTTTTAATATTAATCTTTTTTGTATCTTTTTCTAAGAATTGATTAGAATATACGATTTTGAAAATTATTATTAAAATTAAAATATCTTTCTTAAATCTTATTTTTTTTTTAATTTTATTACAAAATGTATACAATTTTATATGTAAGAAAAAAATAAAATTATTTTTTTATAATCAATAATAGAAAAACATAATATTTATTTTTTGGAAATATTTTTATATTTTTGAAAAAAGTAAAGTAAAATAAAAAAATAAAAA